GAGAGAGAGAGAGAGAGAGAGAGAGAGAGAGAGAGAGAGAGAGAGTGTGTGTCACGTTAACCACACGTGGTCTTTGAAACAATATATTGGAGCTCGCGAAAATACTACAATAAGTATCATTTTTTAATCTTTGTTTAATCCTTATTATTATTTAACATTTGGTGAACAATAAGGATAAAATATTTGCGATATTCGAAAACATTCGGGTAACATATTCAAAGTCAATCAGATTTCGTTTAATGTATTAAACTTGATTTTTCTAGAAAAAAAGAAAAAAGTCAATTGTTCACATCAATCTATTGATATGATCCATTTTCAGTAATATGATCTATGTAATATGTTTAATATATTATTAAATTTTTCGAAGATACACGGACATATTCACGAACGCAATAACTGTTATGTATTGTAACGAAAAGGACACTAAAATAGACAACTTAAAATTTACGTCCCCTTTTTCACACTCTGTTTATTATACAACATATTTATGTATGATATATAAAAATGTATTATATCTACACTAGTCATTATGCAAATTTGAATAACGGCGAACAAGTTATTCGCACTCAGATGGTAATCTGTTTATAATTGCCGAAACTGACGAGAGAATGATCTTGATCACAGGTAGTACTACCCGGAAGATTAGAGTTTTTATAAGTAGAGATCTCTCTCTCTCTCGTTTGAAATTGGATACTATACACTTTAGAATCTGTTTAAAGCAAAATGAGATAGATGCATTATCTATCTCATTCTATCACTTTTAAGCATGCTTGAAAAATATGGTGGAGCTAATATATTTACCAAATCTATATAGTTCCTAGACACTCACTTTAGGATCTCTAGGTTCTTAAACCCTCTTGCGGAGTCTTATTGTGTCTCGATCCATCGCATTCTATTGATTTGTCACGGTCAAAATGTCAAATAGCTATCTGTTATGATTGCGATGAGTCTTTTGTCATTACCTTTTATTTTCAACTTGTAACAGTTAATTTCCAGTAACCAAGACTGAATGTGAAATAGATTTAAATGGATTTAGATGTTCACATATGTATACACATTTGCGAACGTTAAAATTAATTCTTTTCAATTCGAATATATTTTTATTCATTTAACTAAAGAGATTGCATGAAGCACCTTCTATGCCTTTTTCAATCTAAAAAAAAGTTCAGTTTTTTAAGTACATCATAAATATTGCTCAATTCAAAATTCTGAATAAGAAATGCGTTTTTTTTTTTCAAATCTAATTGAATCTAAAAAGAATTATTCTATACAAATAATAAATTTAAAAAAAGTGAAAATAGACCATACTTATATGTATATAATAATTTATATTATTTATTTAAATATATGTATACAATAATTTAGTGGCCTCGAGTGGCATCACCGCTCAGTGCAATTGACTCGTGATCTATAGACCCGAGTTCAATCCCACGTGCGCCTAAAACGCGATTTTTCGCGTTTAATGATCCGAAAAATGGCTCCACCTGGTGATCAAGAAGATCTATGATCATCAGCGCCGTTCGGATTCGGTGTTAAACTGTAGGTCCTATACATCAGCATACGTCAGTATACATCAGTACATACATGATTAGTAGATATATATATGTCTCTAATATCTGACTGAGGTAGGATTCTGTGGATCAATCACCCACAAATCTGAAAGCAATTTGATTCGAGAAACGAATATAGGCCTTGGACAAAAAATGGAAGAGGCCTGTAGTTGTCCTATGCTCCACATTAGGAGTAGAAAGGAGTCATCATCATACAATAATTTATCAATTGCAGCCGTTTCTGCAGAGAACACATACTAAGTTGTAATATATAATTAGGAATGTACTGGCCATGTCGACGATCTATGCGCGGCGATTCCAACAAACAATATTGATTCTTTTCAAAATGCTTTAATCTCTATCCATCCACGGTTACAATTCACATTAGAAGTCGGTGAAAATTCTTTAAACTTCCTTCATATATCGATCATTATCAAAGAAATCAAACTAATTTTCTATTGCTACCAGGAACCAACTTTTTCTGGCAGATTTTGAAATTTTCTGTCTAATCATCCGGTATCTCAGAAAAAAGATATAATCTATAGTTTAGTGGATAGAGCTCTCGGTGGTATTCTTACATTATGCTGCCATCTAAATGTGAACAGCGGCTTTTAAATTGCTTTTAAAAAACCCCCTTGTCTCCCTTATTTCTCGGTTCTCTCCTTCCCTCTCAAGAAAGAATCGGAAATGTTCGCGAATTGTTCGGGTACCGTCGGAAATGGTCGGAAACGCTCGGAACGGAATACTGATTGTTTTCATTAACTCTCGTTGCGCAGTCATATTTCTTCAACAATTTTTTCAATAACGCTACTTAGAAAGCTTCTAAACCGAAGAAATTGATATTTTGTGACGAAAAAATTTATGATACTGTATGTGCGAGAGCTGAAGAAGTAACTTGAAGAAATTATAACCTAAAAATTCAACGTACGTATATGATAAGAATATAATAATATAACGTCATTTTTGTTGTATCTTTGATTAAAAATAATTCGTTTTTATATATTCACTATTTGATGTTTCATCTATTCATTATTATTTTCAAGCAGATATGTATTTTTGTTGTTTTTATTCTAATGAAATATATATGATATTTCATGTATAAGAACTGTATAAGAACAAGTAAAAATCAATTTAAAGGATTACAATTTATATAATTTAATCGTATTTTTGATATTATGTAATAATAATTAATCTTTATATACTCATTCATATATATCTATAATTATTTTTAGTTTGCAATATTTGTTGACTTTTATGAGAAGATCAAGATACTGTACGAAGGAGTGATAAACAAGTGGAAACCTTTTTGAGAAAAGACTGCAATTCAAAAACTTAAGGTACATAATATAATATTGTCTTTGATATGAGAATAATTTATATTTAGATAATCATGATGTAATAAACAATTATTTTCAGGCATTTATTTAGTTTGTATAATTTTCATCCAAGTAAGATATCAAAACATGGTTTGCGAAAAATGTGAAAAGAAATTGGGCAAAGTTATTACTCCGGATCCCTGGAAGACAGGCGCAAGGAACACAACCGAGAGTGGAGGACGTAAGGTTGGGGAGAACAAAGCTCTTTCTGCAGGAAAGGCACGATTCAATCCATATACCACAAAATTTGAGATCTGTAGAATATGTAGACAGAAAGTCCACCAGGTGGGATCACATTATTGTCAGTCTTGTGCATATAAGAAAGCTATATGTGCTATGTGTGGTAAAAAACTTATGAGTACAAAGAATTATAAACAGTCGGCTACATAATCATTTTTGTATCTAAAAAAATAATTTTAATGTAAAATTTCGAATTTAAATTTATATTCACATATCTGTTGTCTATATTAAAATTATAATGATACTAGTAGGAACTAATGAAACATATTTTCTGATTTCTTGTAGTACATTACTGTATTTTTAGACAACGGCAAATTGTACAGTATCCTTCATTTTTAAAGTATTTAATCTTCTCCGCTAGTGATATGGCGATTTAAAATCTGTTCCCTTGCGTGTTTCTTTGTACATGCAACATTTTACTCTTCATATCACTATCCTCATCCTCAGATTCAAATTTACTTCTGTTTTCGCTATCTATATTATTTTTTGACAATTATTCTTTCTTTTCTAATTAGAAGATGAGACTATTCAGATAGATTTCTTCATTTTCTAAAAGGTTTTGATAATGTTGCTTAATTTACATGAAGGTAATTAAGAATTGATTGTATAATATGATAGATTTTTTGATAAACCATACCGGACTTATCTGTATCAGAAATATCTTCTTTCTATTCACTCTGAGTGTTAGCATTCTACGAATAACAAAAGAAATTCTCTTTATATAAATGTATTTAATTTTTTACATGATAGTTTATATATTATATGTTTATATATTATATATATATATATATATATAACATAAATAATTATTAAAAAATAAGAGAAAAAAATAATTAAGGACAGTGTGCACATAAAAAACTGATGCGTATACATATATATTTCATAATAAAATGTTTACACATATACATATCATGTTTTTCAATAATTTCTCTCATGAGACCTGTACAGCCGCACATAATAAAAATTGTCAATACTAATATGTGTATATTATATAAAACAACATAATGTTTAACTGTGATATTAACAATATTAATTGCAATTGCTAAACTGTTCTGCTAATTTCTTTTTACCAACAAAATGTTTAATGTAACATTACCTATTAAGTTTGATTATATTATGAGGTTTATATATTTTTAACGTGATGCGAATTGTTTTAAAAGCGTGATATAATCATAATGAACAAAAACAATCTTTATCTCCTCACAAGAATCTATCACATAAAAAAATATATTTTTACAATATCGGTATGTCTAAAAATATACACTTTTATTCATTAAAACTTTATACATCCGTTACTAACAAATTATAGACAATAGCGTATGTTACCAACATGTTAGTCTTGAAATAAATTATATTACACAATTATATTTAACGTACACAGAAAGACTCGATGACTAACTTGCATCAGTTAACAGTAACATTTCTAATACGATAGTACTAGATTCGCACACAGTGAAACACTTGTATCTCTTGATCAATGTCAATCACGCGTTATAATAAATCTAGTATATTTTGGAATCTCTTATTCATTTTGGAGAACGTCGAATAACAAATAAAAATACAATATCATAAAAAATCTGATTATACATAACAAAAAAACATTTTTTTTTAAACATAAACTATTGAAATTAAGATTTAAGTGTCTGATATTTGCTTGAGCATCAATGTTTGAAACGAATAGTATAATTATGCGAAATTATTAATTAGCATTTACTTTGTATCTCACAAGGACGATATTAATATATAATAATACGCGTGAACAATTAGATGTAAAATTACGAGCTATGCAAATGTTAGTACATTAATAAACAAAGTCATTATAAAGTCCCAGATTTATACATTATTTCGCTTACACGCTACACGATCTATCATTACACGGTCTATTATTTGATTACACACGTCTTATCTATGAAATTATTTGTATCTTATGATGAACGTACAGGACGACATATAAGATACTTTTATTTAAATAAAATGAGATTTGTGATTTTTAATCTTCTCTTTTGAAATAGCCGTGAAATATTTTTAAGAATTGAAAAAATACAAATGCAAAAATTGCAATATTGCGTCTTTGCTATACATTTGGCATTAAATATGATTATCCCATTTTGAATCATTTGATAGATGCATAATATAAAAGTGATATTCTCGGAAAAATGGAATAACCGCATTTAGCATTAATGTGCGACGAAGTATAATTTGCACAATTAAAAAAATAAAAGAAGAGGGCTATTATACGTAAAATGCAAAATTATTGCCAGTTTTTAGATAAATTAGAATTACGTATTTTCTCATTATATGTATATTCTGTAAGTAAATTGTAATGATATTCTCTGTTAAAAATTATTTTGATTGGGCAGAATAAAACTTAATGAAAAATGCATGATCTTTTATAAAATGCGCTAAGTTTGCTGCTAGCCGTCACATTTAAAACACTGGCCTTACAATTATGTACGACACAATTATTAGGAAAAAAGTATGCACATTTATCGCGTTTATCGTTATTTTTATTCGTACGTTAATAAATCGGACATAATGCATACAATAAATCTGTAAATATTACATTTGCAGTTCAATTCTACCTCAAGTAATTCCCTCTAATCACATAATTACTCTTTATGGCACGTAGTTTCTCAGCACTTTACTGATTATCTCGTATGATGTATATCTCGTATTTATTATTGACATAATGGATGTCTTTTCAATTAATTCTTTGCGCTTTTTTGCTAGAATTAATTTCAAAACATCGGGATTCACGCCAAAGTGCATGAGTTTCTAAGTGATCTAAAATATATAAATATGACATAAATATACACGAAGCAATCTTATTGTGTTATTTAAATTTTAACAGCGCAGCGACATTTATATCGATTACACATGAAAATTATATTGATCTTTTGTAACTCTAAGATACTAAATAATTACATATAGGGCCGATTGTTTCATTTTTTTGGTAAAGTTTACCTGTTAGGTAAATAGCAAGATTACCTAATCACGTACGCGGATTGCCAGATTTACCTAACAGGTAAACTTTACCGAAAGATGGAACAATCGGCCCATAAAAAATTAGAAAACAAACGCAAGTCAATAAGAATCAGAGAAACAATATTAAGTTTTTCTCTTCTATAAAAAAAATTGTGACTATAAGTTTGAATATCTTACATATACATACATTCGCATTTTAGACAAAGATATTTCTCTATCTGAAGGATGAAACTGCTCAGTAAAATCATTAAAGAAATTTTTCTGGATGTACAGTGTATGTAAATATTTTATAAGATATGTAAAATACGTATCACTTCAAAAAAATGCATCAACACATACGTGACATAAAGTTAATCATATTCCTTTCAGACTTATAGGTACGTTTTCGCTTTCTATCTGGATTATTCATTGAGGCCAAACTGAATTGAAGACTGGAAATGAAAAGGGAGCCAAGTGTAAAAAAGAGCTAGAAAAATTGATGCAAAAAATTTATATGTAAAATAATATAATTTATATAAAAATATTTATTTTAGGATTATTGTTACGACGCTTGGCCTTGTTTCTATTCGAAATCTTTGCTCGAATCAGTTATCTTAGAAAGGACGTTATTTCAAAGTTCTTGGTATAACACGAATACAATTTTGGTTTAACGTTAATACAATCGCTTTTCTATTAATTGCTGCAATCGTTACTCGCTTTCACACAAAGCAACTTCGCACGAAGAAACTTCATTCTTAGACATTTTTTTTAAATAAAATGTCTCTCCTAAGCTGAATAATACACAATTACCGATTATTATTCGCATTCTTAAGGAAGCCGCGAACATTTTAATTCGTATCATCCCTGGATGAGAGCATGATGTTCGTCACGGGTTGTGGTTGGCCAGAAGCAGGGTTCCAGCGATTCTGTTCCTTGTCAGACCTGAAGATCCAGTGCTCGAACTTCTTGTTCTCTGATTGCTTGATTTCTGATCCTGGATGCGCGTCCAAGATCTGGGCTCCCTTGCTCGCTGCAGACTTGTACTCGGATACATAAACGACCTGCTTGTCCGTCTGGTCCTCCTTCGGGCTCTTTGTGATGTCTGATCGCCTCGGCGGTACCGGTGGTTTCTTACCCGACGTAGACTTGCCGTTTGTCGTCACCTTGATCTCGTTTCGCGCTGGCTTCCGCGATTCGCCGTTAGTCCCTGTTGTTATCTCCTCGTTCTCGTTGCCGATCTCGCGAATCCCTTCTCTATTAGACGACACTTTGATCTCTGTGATGTAGGTCATCTTTTGAGCAGCGTTTGGCGGTACGGGCGTATTAGGCAAAGATGGACGACTCTCCGTGTCCTGTGGATTATTGTAATCCATCGACTCTCGGACCAAACCGCTGTCCTCACTATTTTCGCCGCTTGACACGCTAACGCTGCTGATATTATGACGGTCTTCTTTAGGCGAAGATAGGTTCTTATTATTCGCTGTTATGTTCGTGCCGAACTCATACTCATCCTCTTCCTCCTCGTTATCATCACGATTTGAGACGTTAATAATACGTCTGGCAAAATGCGTATCAACGAACGTAGAGTCGGTCGGCGATTTTGTTTTGATCGGCGAGTACCTGTCGTGTTGCTGGCTGTCCGTATTCCGCTGTTCGAACTTCGTTCGATGTGCGTGGAACGTAGAAAGGGTACCGCCATTCTTACCTTCTGCGTTCTCATCCTTGTCCTGGGGTTTGTCGAGCCTGACTGATGATTCCGACTTGGACGCGTATACTCGCAGATGAGTCGGTGTGGATGTCCGTTCTGTCTCTCTCTCCGTACTCTCTCTTGAGCCCGTCTTGTCCTCCGAGAACGATCTCACAGTCACAATATGCTGTCTATCAGCGTACTTCTCACGTTTGCAGTCAGCGCTGTGTTGGCCGCATCTATCCTCGCAACCGCGACATCTCGTATCTACAGTCACTTTTAAGATAGGTTCTTCTACAACTGGTTGTCTACCGGTATAAAGTGAAGCGTCACTAACGGGTGCTTTTTCTTCCTTCCACTCGTCCAGCTGCGTCAGGTTGACCTTTATTGTCGGTTCTGAAGATGTCGGTGAGCTACTCGCATGCAACTCGAAGTAGCGCAAGGCACGACTGAAGTCCTCTGACTTTTCTGACATAGAATTATTATCTGGTTCGTTTCC